GCTAACCCACCTCCTCATGGCACCTGCCGAGGCTCTCTCTGGCGACCAGAAAAGCCCTCATCTTGCAAGGGTGATATTGGCTCGGCTCAAGGAGTTAGTCCCCACAGATCAATCCTTCACCTCCTCCGGCATACAACGTCTCTCCGCACACTTCACCGACGCTCTGCTCGCTCTCCTCGACAACCCCCATCAGCTTCATTACTCCGCCAGCGAAGTCCTCACCGCCTCCAAATCCTTTCACGACATGTCCCCCTGCGCCAGCTTCGGACACCTCACCGCAAACCAAGCCATTCTCGAAGCCATCGCCGGCGAACGCCGCATTCACGTTCTGGATTACGATATTGGGGAAGGGGTGCAATGGGCTTCCTTCATGCAAGCGCTGAGTTCTAATCCCAACACCGCAGCTCCGCATCTGAGAATCACGGCGATTTCCAACGGGACGAAGGGATCTGCATCCGCGTCGCAGGAGGTCGGGAGGAGGCTCTCAGCTTTTGCTGCAACAATCGGTCAGCCGTTCAGTTTTCGCATCGCCCGACTGGATCAAACGAAGATTTTTACTCCGGCGGCGGTGAAGATAGTAAAAGGAGAAGCTTTGGTGGCAAACTGCGTTCTGCACCCCGCGCAACTCTGTTCCGCGGCATCGCTGGCCTCCTTCTTAACAGGAGCGGCGGCGCTCGGCGCTCGAGTTCTGACCGTTATCGAAGAGGAAAGCGGCTCGGTTGAAGCAAGGGAGGAGAAGGGGCTTGTGGGAGAATTCAGGGATGAGTTGGAGCGTTATATGGCTATATGGGAGTCGTTAGAAGCAGGGTATCCGATGCAGGCGAGGGTGAGGGAGATGGTGGAGAGGGTGATTTTGAAGCCGAGGATTGCTGCGGCGGTGATGAGGGCGTATGGAAGGAAGGAGGGGAGGGAGGGGGTGGCGGAGAGGTGTGGGGAATGGATGGCGGCGGTGGGATTTCAGAGAGTGGGGTTGAGTTTTTTTAACGTTTGTCAGGCGCAGTTGCTGCTTGGTTTATTCAATGGCGGGTACTGCGTGGAGAGGGAGGAGATGAATAAGCTCGCGCTGTGCTGGAAGTCATGCCGGCTATTGTCGGCTTCTGTTTGGGCTGTTCCGCCGCCGCCAGAGTAAACGGCTTCGCCGCCATTAATTGGCAGAGGAGAGGATCGTGTTTTGGTTTCGGTTGAAGAGATCAATTGTTTCTCCTTCTGAAATTTTCCGAATTGGAGAACCGAGACAAGGGTTTAGCCATTTGTGATTTAGGAGCAATTATCGCATGCGGAGAGCCCACACAGAGCACGCTGCGTGCGCTCTCTCCAATCACAGAGCGATGTGCTGTTGTGATCGGATGCGTGCGCTCTCCGCACCTAATAATTAGATGTGATTTAGGGGTTGAGTTCATGATGTGGATTCTTTGGGGGCTGTATTTAATTGTAAATTGTATTTTTTTAAAATGACTCGAATTAAATTTATCGTTTAATTTGTCGTGGCTAACAAATGTTCATTTCAAAATTTACAATTTGTTCAAATGTTCATTTCAAAATTTACAATTTGTTCAACACTACGTAAAAAATAGTTTGTTTTGTTACTAAAAATAAAAAAAAAATATCTTTTTTTTTTTTAAATACTTATCTACAAGCAATCAAATAAGTTCATAGATTAATATTATGTTTTCAAATAAGTTGCCTCTTCTTATCAAACTGATTATCTTCCTTAGCTTGTCTACTGGAGGATGCCTGCCAGGGGATGGTTGAGAGTTAAACTTGATGGTAGTTGGAAGGATGATTTAGCGAGGATTCATGGGTGAGTCAGAATGATTTTTTCTGTGCCAACTTTTGCTCTGTCTCCTATTCAAGCTGAAGTTGAAACACTGGTTACTGCTCTCTCTATTGCCAAGCCGATTTATTGTCATCATCTAATTGTGGAAATGGATTCTCAAATTTTGTGGAGGAATTGACCTCACTTGATCATCATTCACCATTTCAGGCAGACTTTCAGCCTAGTTAAATCCTTCTCAATTTAGTGGAAGTTGATGCCAAGGGAGGGTAATGCACCAGCTGAATGGCTCTCCAAGCTTGCTCTTCAGACCCAACCAGTTCTTGTTTAGAAATCTCCTCCACCTAAGCTTAAGTTGTTTTTAAAGGGAGATTTACTATATCTCCTATATATTAGACTCTCTGTATGAAATACCTATATTTAATGAATGAATGAATAGTTTTTTGTTTATATATATATATATATATATACATATATATATATATATATGAGAAAATTAGGATATAAAAATAACATAACTTCTTTCTCACTAGTCCTATGTAAATAACATAACCAATTAGATGCATTCGGATTTAAAATTCTAAATTTACAGAGATTCGCAAAAAAATAAATAAATAAATAAATAAATAGGCATTTCATAATGCTAACATGATAGATGTAAACAAAGAAAAACTCAATTATAAGATTGATCTTTATGAAGCCACCACCATCACTACTAATGAGTAATGACAAAAAATCTCCAAATCCAACCAACATGTGGATCTATCAATACAATTAGCACATGTTTGGCACCCTTGTTGGTATCTTCCAACACTCGTCATATTTCTTACTCATTTCTCTAGATATCATGAAGTGTAGAATATCTTAGCCAACACATATGCCAAACCCAATGAGAGAATATCAACTACATCAATAATTGGCTAAAAAACCTTACCAAAGAGTCTCGAACAATCACTTAGTACAACACATTTTTTAAAACATGCTTAAGTCAACTTATTTATGAATAGGCTTATGTAAGAAGAAGAAATCACTAAACATTTGAAATAATATTGGTAATGATTGTAAGCTTTTCATTAATAAATTTAATGTCTGCCAAACACTTATTTATTTTGCTGATATGTTCTAATATTGCTAAATAATGAAATGTTTCTTATTCATCTCCACCTACACTCCCCATTATAACAAACTAGGTAGCCTCTCGTAACAAGTAGGAGTGAATGATAAAAACATCAACATTGTGCCCAATTCAATATTATACAACCAAATCCTTCAATAATCCTTATCTCCTCACCCATGTCGTAGCTTTTACTATGCATGTATCATTTAAGGCCACATAACTAAGCCATAGCCACTTTTTATCAGGATTTTTCTAAACAACAATCAAATATTGCTAATTGGCATCATGTTTGCTAAAAATACTTTGGACACTCCCACTTAGCATCTAGCATGGTGCTTCGTAATGTACGACATCAAACTTGAGCAAATTATTGATCCACAATCCATATGATAACCTTGATGGTTTTAGATTTGCATCAATTTGCCCATAACTATCCAATAATATATTCTCTATCACTTGCAAAACTTAATTAAATAATGTCATATGTATATATGTCTAACATGAATATATATATATATATATATATATATATAAAAACATAGCATTAGCATCTAAGGTAAGGAGAATCAAGCAAATCGTCGTTCATAAGAATGGTATTACCCATTGTTTTTTTATGTGGCAAAACTTCACATAAGGGTGATCATTTTGAATATGACTAAAGTATGTATGTATAGGTGCCCAAACTCTAGTCACCACCACTTATCACATTTTCTAATTTCATAACTACTACATCCAAGTGACATCATAGATTAAGGCATAGGTTAATTTTTAATTATTTGGCGGATCACATCAAAGTTTATTTACTCTTATCTTATCCATTATCATCAATCTTTCATTATTTTTCTAGTAATGGAATAAAAATTTTTCTAGTAATGGAATAAAATTCATAAACTTACAATCTCTACTTCAACTATTGTGTTTTCCCAATTTCTTATTATAATTTTTCTCAGATTTGTGGATTTTGCTTATGCAATCTTATGTTGGTTTCAGATATTATGTCTTTTTTGTCAGCAATGATAAAAAAGACATATAGTACTATTAACTTAAGCTAAATTTTTCATTTTTATAACCGCTTAATAGCTTTAAATCCAAAGGTTTAAAAAAATACTTTAATCATAAATCAACTTATAATTTGCTAAACTTGAAGTGTCAATATCTTGCTAAATTCTTCCCCACCAAATGACATATTATATAAGATAGTATATTACACATGCTAAAATGTATTAGATATTGAAAAAAAAAAATCATCAAAATGTTCTCAAAACCGATTTATTATTCTCTCTATTATCTAATGCATCCATCCCACACTACTATTATACTTGAAATTTTGCCACAACATTTTTCCTCATAAATTGTTTGCTTTCCATTAGACCCCACCTCTTTCTTTCATTTGAAAGGCTCTCTAGATCTCTTCAAGAACAATCCAAACTTTTATGATAAACATGCTTTCATTTGTACCTCAACTTATAAACAACTTGAATCTCATTATAAAGTACATGTATTTGTTAGTTACTCCTTTGCTTCAAGTGCATATCTCCATTTTTTCCTCAATATTTTAAAATTTTGTGTATATAAGAACTACACTTTCAATATAAACTCATCATCATCAAATTTCTCTTGTTAATAAGGTTTAGATTTTGAGGCACTATGCTACTTTTTGCTACGGGATCAATCATCATCTTCTAGATATTTTTATAATCACGTGTCATTAAAATATAAATTTGAACAAAAATAAATCTTTATTTAAAAAAAAAAACTCAACATAGGATAGACTAAAACTCTGCTAATTTTTTTAATATCTGAGTAGTCTCTACCGTCAAAGAAAGGTGACTGAGCTCTCTTCTTTGGCTTTGTTGAAAGGTGGAAATCTCTTTAACAAGCACATCACGTCCACAGCTTTTCTAATGCTCAAATCTCTCAGGGGTATAATGCTCAATTGGACTTGTTTAAAGGCATGATTGTCACTTTTACTACATGCAAAGTCTGCACATTATCATTGAATTATGGGAAGGGGTGCAGTAAGGGAATTCAATCAAAACCATCCTCCACAACATAACCTTTCATTCCCGAAGCCTTCTTCAAGCTTCAAAGAGGGTTCCTTCATTCTCTAAGAGCTCACCCTCCAATTATACAGTTTGATCAAAGCTCTCTTATCGAGCTTAATTTGGATAGAAGTTTGATCCAATCAATTGGAACTTGACTCTCTCACACTAGAAGCTTTGTCGAACCTCTATGAGCAAGAATAAACTCTCTCCCTCACCATTTGCCCCTTCTACCTAAAATAAAGAATATCTTTGATCATTTGATGGATATTGGACATTTCTCTGAGATAAGGATATGCTTTTAATTTTTATAACTAATTGGATATTGATCCAATTAATTTATATTTAATTAAACCTTAATTTAACTAACAAACTAAATGTTATAATTATTCTTAATCTATCTATAACTTACCAAGTATTTTGTCTAAAGTTACTTTTGACCTTAAGTGAAATTATCAGGAATTCATCAAGTTAAGTTTAGTGGGATTAAGAAATTTCAATCATAATTCATAGGAATTAATTAATTAGTAATATAATAAAACAATAAATAAAATAAGCATAATCTCCCAAAACAACTTCCAAATCATCTTAATGGCCATTAGACTTCCCTAATAATGTAATCCACTTAAATTATTAGGAGTTAAAAAGTATTCTATATTATTTTAATATAAAATAGAAAATAAGGAAAAATAATAATAATTAAACCATAACAGTAAAAATCATCAAAATCACAAAAATAATTAGAATTTGTTAAAATTCAAAATTAAACATTGCAACCATTAAATAATTTTCTAGAATTATAAATTCAAATAATTACATTAAATTTTGGAAAATTTATAATAGATTTATTGGAAATAAAAATAATTATGATTTTTTAATGGGATAAATGTAATTAAATAGTTATTTTAATATAAAAATAAACGTCATTTTCAACCTCCTTATAAAATTGCATTAATTATTAAATTAATTTGAACTTTTAATTATTTAAATGTAAATTGAAGACTAAGACATTTTCAAAAAAAATTAAATTAAACTAAATTTAATCATGGTAATTTTTCCTATTGGTTTGTGACATTAATCAAAATTTCTATGAATTTTTTAGTTCATTTAAAAGTCAATAGCTTTGACCTAAGGGAAAATTAAGCAATAATACATAATTAATCCTTAAATATAATATACCCATTAATCCAACTATAACTTTGAAATTACATATGATATAGCCTAAATATATAAGAATTATGAAATCCACTTAACCTTTAAAATTAAGAGAACATTTTAAAATTAAAATTAAAATATTTTCTATAATTTTAAAAAACATTAAATAATATAAACCTAAATTAAATAATAGAAAATTTTAAT